TCTTTCCTGGCTGTTCTGTCCTTGGCACTCTTGCAGAGCCCAGGTCTGGGTTTGCAGACGGCCCTGCACTTGGGTTTCCTCACGTTCCCCAGTGCTTAGACCCAGGCTGCACCCTTGGGAGGAACATCACAGAAGTCCTGACCCCTGCCCCCCATGCCAGATGTTCCCAACTCCTGGGGGGCCCCCTCGTCCTGTTCAGGCTCTGACAATGGCCAGGGGATTTTTGAGGTGCACAATAGGCAGCCTCCTCATTCCTAAGGATATAAAAATCTCCTGTGGGTCCCAGTCTGGCTTTACAGGTGGAAGCTGAGTCGCCAGGTACGTGGGCCACGAGGGAACCTCCTTCAGGGCATTGGACTACGCAGTTCCCCTAAATATCTCCCAGGGCAGGGTTTCCAGGAGACTTGTGGCTCAGCTGCCATCCTGGCCGCTGTGTGAGTGAAGAGAAGGAATATAGAGTTAGTGAAACTGGCATTTAAAAAGACACATTCATATTTTTGTTGATGTTGTTTTTATGGGCAGCAGGTATACATTAAAATACGTTCTGGGTCCTGCTCTAGTGGTGCCCCTGACCCAAACGTGGCCAGGGACCCCTGCCAGTGCTGTGAGAGGAGGGCACTGCTGGGAGATGGGTGGCGATAGCAGGGAGGTGTTAGTTCCAAAAACAAAGGAAGCAACTTGTACTTTGTTGATTTGAGTCACCCCTTTTATTATAAAAAGGCCTAAAAGGTGTGGCCTGTGAGGTCCAGGATGGCCCGCTGGAGACCCTTGTTCTGCTTCACGTGTTTTTTTGTGTGGTTTGGAGCAAGTCTCTGAACCTTATCTGTGAAATGGGAAGACCAGCCCTTACCTGGGAATGAGCTGCTCTGTTTCTGAAGAAATGCCAGTTCCTGAGGAGCACCGGATAAATGAAGCCCACTGCACTCTTAGCTACATCCATGCTGGAAAATTTCCTCTTATTTCTCTGGTCGCTGAAAATAGAGTCATTGCTGTTAACACCTTGTTTTTACGTAACTCTGTGTGACCATCTCATTTGATGCAATGATTATTATCCCTGTTTTGTAAATAAGAAAACCAATACCCACAAATTTCTTCCTAAGATCATTGAAGGCACCTTGGAGCTTGGACATGTGATGGAAACTCTGTCCAGCTCTTTCCCACTGGGAGCAGTGTGAAAGTTCCCCTGAAATATCCTGTGGTACAAGAATGGTCTGCTGAGGCGTATCTGTGATGGCCAGTCTCTGAGCCCCTTGCTGCAGTTCCTGGGGGCGGGAGGGTCTCCCCACTTATCTCTCACCTGCGCTCCCCCACCCTCAGGTGCCGCCCTCTGAGAGACGATGCAGATGGAAGCAATCTGGAGGAAATGTCCATAGAGTTTTCATTTGCATTTGAGAAATCCCCATGGGTTCATCCCTCAAATATTGATTATCCCTGATGGATCACTTACTTTGAGCCAGGCTCTGCCCCAGACCTGGAATCCTGCCCCCACCCTGTGTACCGTGGAGTGTAAAGGGAGGACGATTAGGTCGGGACTGTAGGGACAGACCAAGGTGCTTGAGGGCGCGGAGTGGGCGAACACACCTGGTCCTGGTATGTATGCTAAGACCCAGTGAGGAAGGAGAGGGGCGTGGACCCGGCATCTGCAAAGGCCCAGGGCTGGGGAGAGCATCAGCTCGAGGATCTGATGGGAAGACAAGGGTGCAGAGTATGGATGGAAAGGCTGCTGCAAGGCAGAAGCAGAGGGAACCAGGCAGCGGGACTCCCCTTCAAACTCTGTTCTGACCGGAAACGTGTGGGAAGTTCCTGAAGAGGTTTGAGCTGGGGTGTGGCCCCCTCAGATTAGTGTCAGTTCCCTCTGGCTGCCCTGTGGGATGAGGCGAGGACAGGAAACAGGAAGCAGGCTGTTCTGATCTGTGAGGGATGATGCTGACCTGGGGTGGGTGATACCCCAGCACTGAGACAAAGTGGGTGGGCTTGGGAGGGATTTATAAGGGGAAGCAGAAGGACTTGCTGACTGAAACGGTGGGATGCTGTGAAGGACAAAGCCCAGAATAAACCCCAGGTTTCTCCCCTGGGCAGTGAGGGGTATGCCCGTGTCATTTATTGAGTTCAAGCGAAAAGCCCCCATTCATGATCCAAGAATTCATCCTTCATTTAAATTTTCTTCACCTGGTCTTAAACATTGACCTAATCAGGGGGTCTTAGTTTCATGACTTTAGGAATCTACCCATCATAACACTTCTTGTTGAAGCACACTTTTATGGGATACTGTGTCCAGATACACAGAGCTTCCAGTGATGAGCTTTACGATGACAAAATCATTTTATAGTAAATTGTCACTTAAGCCACGTACAGTCTGTAAGTCCTTGAGATATGAAATGCTGGATCTTTTTACGTTTTCCTCAATTTTCTAGTGTGTATATATTTTTAGTATCATAAAAATGATAAATTATAGAAATCTATACAGTAAGTCCCCTACCTACGAACCTTCAAGTCGTGAACTTTCAAGAATGCAGATGTGCATTCGCACGTCCAATCACGTACGTTAGTTCATGCGTCTGGCGTACATTGTCCCTTGCGTGCATCCTCTGCAAGTGGTTGTGCTTTTGTGTACTTTGCAGTACTGTATAGAGGACAGTAGTACCGTATCTTTATTTCAAGCCCAGGACGTCTGGAAGCAAGCGTAAAAGCAGTGGTATATAGCTGATTGTGTTAGTTGGGTACCTAGGCTAACTTTGTTGGACTTACGACCAAGTTGGACTTACGAACGCGCTCTCGGAACTCCTTCATATGTAGGGGGCTTGCCGTATACTATGAGGTAAGGGGCTCCATGATACAGCATTAATGACAGCTAACATTTATTACGTGCTTACCATGCTCCCGGCACCACTGGATGGGCACTGCATGTCTTTACTCCCTCCGTCCTTTAGCAGCCCTATCAGGTAGGTACTGTTGAAATTCCCACTTTACCTGAGGAAACCGAGGCACAGAGAGGTTAGCGTGTCTGCCTAAGTAAGTGGCTGAGCTGGGATCTGACTGCATGCACTGTCAGAGCCCATGCTCAGCCCTGAACCACACCGTGGGTGGCTGATTAGCAACGTGTAGGTAGAGAGTGCGGCTTTCAAACGTTTCAGAAGTGTGTGCTGGGCAAACGCTATTCTAAACGTCTCGGAGCGTTTCTGAGATCCTATGTTAATGGTTCGGCACCTTAACATCTCCCCTTTTTGGTTTCAGCTGTGGAACAACTACTTTCACCTGGCTGTCGCTTTCCTCACTCAAGAGTCCTTGCAGCTGGAGAATTTTTCAAGTGCAAAGAGAGGGAAAATCCTTAACAAGTAAGTCCACGTAGCCCCGAATGCACGGGCAGGAGCCTGCAGTTCTATTAGCACAGTCTTCTTGCGTCTTCTAAGCCAACTGGGTACCAATTGAGATGTAATCATGGTGTAATGAGAGGGTGGTTTCAAACCATGAATTGAGTATTGCCTTTTGTAACCCGTGAATCCAGATCTAAAGTAGCAGATTTATTCTGGTGGGTTGCAAGTCAGTGTCATTCAAGACTATTAGCACCGAACAGAATGGGAGTTTCGGGAGATAATTGCTTTTGCTGTGCACCGTGCCGATGTCACGCCACATGTGGTTTGCTGTATTGCTTAATTCTCCAACGCTGCTTCAAACAAGGAAGCTTCTGACGGAAGCTGCTGGCATCTCGGGATTGTGGAACGACTCATCACAGAGTGATGAGTCATCTGGGGTTCCTTCTTTGCAAGAGATGACCCCGGTCCTCTTCCAGGCAGGAGATCTGAAAGGGCTTAACTAGCCCTTGGATTATCCTGAAAACGTCTGAGAAGCCCGGGGGAAGCCAGGATCCCTGCCTGGCTCCTTCAGCACTGCATCCCGAACAGCTCCTGGTCCAGGGTCAGGAAAAGAACCCTTACGTGGGTTTCTTTGCAACCCTTGGGCCCTCTGAGGGCCTTGCCACCTCTCTCTCTGCCTCAGTTTCACCAGCGTCTCAGTTCCCTGGGGGCCCCTTCCATCAGTACATCACGTTGCTAAGTCATCCGGCCCTGTTCATCACTTCGTAATCCCTCTGAGCCGTGTTGACGGTTCCAAGGCATGGCCAGCCTGGTACCATCGCTGAGGTTAGAGATTCCAGGGCCTCTCAGAAGGGGACAGCTGCTCAGCCCTCCTAGTACCCCAGGAGTGTGTGTCTCCCTTGCAGACCAAATGGAAAGCACACTACCCCCGGGGAGTAAGTAGTTAGCAGATATTTACAGAGCACGTGTGACCTGCCAGTGACTTTCTAAGAGCGTTTTATGCATTTTTCACATAGAATCATTCAAACAAATCCCAAAACTATTCCACAGGTTCTCTTATCATCTTTATTTTCCAGACGAGGAAGTGAAGCAGGTTGTGAACCAGGGACCCGTGTCTCACACTGAGTCATTCTAACTCGGGCAGTTCAGAGCCCGAGACGTTTAGCTGGGCTGCTTTTAGAACCTTAAATCCTTCCCTGAGCCATCTAAAAGTCAGCTTTCATCGGGTCATCTTGGGACTTCCCTGGCTTCCCTTCCCAGTGGTTAAGACTCCCTGCTTCCCAGGTTTGATCCCTGGTCGGGGAACTAAGATCCCTCATGCCACGTGTAGCAGCCAAAAAGAAAACAAAAACAAAACAAAACATCGGGCCGTCTTTCCTTTAAGCTTCCTCAGTTGAATGACTGGTCTGTTGGCCGTTGATAGAGGCAAGTGTTCCTTCTTCAGACAGGAAAATGCACCCCGGGTGGCGTGGGCCCAGTGGGTGCCCAGCGGCGATGGCAGGGAAGGTGGCCCCCTCCTCCGAGCCAGCAGAGTTTATCCCTCATCTTGGCTCAGGAGACAGACTTTTCTAGGCAGCACCTTCCGGGGATTGGCTCAACAGGGATGCTACCACTTTGTGAAATGTACATTCCCTCAGTGCTCCCAGGAAGTTAGGGGTGGCTCCCAGCTTGTTGTCCTTGATGAAAGGCTGTCACAGGGAAAGCTGTTTGTAATGGAAACACTAGTAACCAGCACACACAGGACTCGGCCCGAGCCTCTCCCCACCAGAGCCCTCCAGAGCCCTGGTTATCCTGTCCTGCGCACCTGTGTGCAGTGCTCATGTGGGGTGAGGCTGGGGTCCAGACCCAGCTCCAGCCGACACTGGTGCCCATTCCTTGCCAAGCTTGTAGCGCATCCTCTACCCTTAGAGATGCCTGCGGGGAAGAATTGAGTTTAAACCGGAAATCTGCCTGAAAAGAGCTGACGTCTCCTTCACAGTTTGGAGAATAAAACCATTTGATTCTGAGCATTGTCCGGTCAGGGCAGGGCCCGTCTCTCTTCCTGGGCCCTTTCCTTGTTGGTGTGAGAGCGTTAAAATCTAAGCTAGAGCGACACCAATAAATGCATTCAGCACACAGGGCCTTGTCCACCAGAGAAAACGTTTGCTTCCCACATCGTGCTGTGCCTTCTGAAGCTTCAAAGCCAAGGAGAATTAAACACAGCCAGCTGGTGTCACCCCTCCCAGAGGGCCTCTGAATCGGGCTTTTAGAATTCTGTCTCTCACAGCCGTGGCAATGAGAGACTCCAGATTTTCCCTTTGAAATTGTCTCATGGATCCCCCGAGGGAAAAAGCCCCAAACATTTCAGAAATCGTCTTTGCAGGAGTGTCTCAGCTCCTGTGCAGCCCGAGGGGCCCTCTCCCAGGGCCACAGGTTCAATGTGTGGCCATGACAGGCCACGGAGGAGAAGGAATTTCCAGCATCTGTGTTCGGCGCTCTTGGCCTGTGAGGCCGCGTGGCTGGCATAAAACGTGGGTTCACCTGTTGGTTGTATTCACCCTGCCTCTTGCTACACCTGAAACACTTTTATCATCCACGTGCAATTTTAATTTCTAAATAGCAAAACCTTCATGAGAAATAGTAGGAGATGGTCCTACCCAAATGCTTAAATTTTCTAGTGCCTTAGAAATGTTTTAATTTGTTTCACATTGTGCCATGTACTCACGGCACTAGAGTCCTGGTGCTTGGGACCCAGAGATAAAAAGTTCACAGTCTAGGGCTTCCCTGGTGGCGCAGTGGTTGAGAGTCCGCCTGCAGATGCAGGGGACGCGGGTTCGTGCCCCGGTCCGGGAAGATCCCACGTGCCGCGGAGCGGCTGTGCCCGTGGGCCATGGCCGCTGAGCCTGCGCGTCCGGAGCCTGTTGCTCCGCAACGGGAGAGGCCACAACAGTGAGAGGCCCGCGTGCCGCCAAACAAAAACAAACAAACAAACAAATTCACAGTCTAGGGGGCAGGTAGCTGTGCAAAATTAAAATTACATGATTGGAGTAGAACGTAAGTGCTCCCCAGATGCCTTGGCAGCCCGGAGGTGGGCATGTAGGACTCACACTGGGTGGCGAAGGTGGCTGAGATGTTTACCAGATTGATTGACTGACCCCCTTGTCAGCAAACAGCCAGTCCCAAAAGGGGTCATTGTGTCCTAAGGGGCATGACCCACTCTGTAAGCAGAAATGCTCTGCGTTGCTGAAGCATGAGTGAGTGGCCGGGCCTGGAGTGATCGGAACTTGGGGTAAGGTGCGAGGGACCAGGTGACATGGGGACTAACCCCAGGCGTCTGAGCAAATGGCTGGCTGCTGATTTCCAGCACAGTGGAGTGTAATTCAGGGGGTTATTTTCTTCTAGAGGGAAAGGCCGTGGGGTCTGAAAGTGGAGTGATGCCCCCTCTGGCTGTCCACGTCGGCTTGTCTACTGCCGTAGGGTTTGTGAATCCAACCCAGGGCTTCGGCATGAGCCCCCTCGCGCCCCCAGCACGGCCCTTCCTGTCTGCCACGGCCTGCACCTCCTCCCGCCTGCCTGGTCCACAGTGCTGTGGCTCAGAACAATAGAAAATCCCAGTATCAGAAGATCTGCCTGTTCATTCCCTCTTGTTAAGCTTCCCGTCCTCCTGGTGACCTAGGTTGGGGAGATAATTAGGATATTTATTCCAAAAGCATTCTCCAAAGCACATGGGAGTAGCATCAAAGAATGGGCCATAGCGTGCAGAACACTGATTATGTCAAACCCAAACGGAGTACAAGCTTTGGCAATGATCCACACAATAAATAACCTCTAGGAATCAAAGTCCATAATGAGAACATTTAACTGACTCACCTTCAGACATCCTTGGCGCTAGTGACTCCTAACAAAGACAGAGAAGGCGACAGAATACTAACCCTGACCTTCATGAATGTCCCATCCTCCATCCCCCACACCTTGTACATTACGGGGGCTCCGGAAGCATGAGTCAAATGTGAAAGAGTTGGCTTTGGGTTAGCAGCCAGCTTGACCATTTTAGTTTGTAAGACATCGTGTGTCCTAGCGTTGGGGCAGTGGGGCGATGTGACTGCAACTGGCCTTCTGTGTTCAGGACCAGACTGCCTTCTTGAAGAGGAAAGGGGTTCATGAATGGGCCTCCAGCAGCTCTAAGCATAAGATGCCCATTTAAAAATTCCAGCCCGAGAGGGTAAAGCGTGATGGCCAAGCCCAGGTCAGTGGATTTGAACCTATGTGATTAATGTGGGTTCCTCATGGTACCCTCTCCCCAGTTGGTCCCGGGATGTTTCCCATCCTTTTCTGGTTCGTTTTGTTTTTCCTATAGAAGTCTATCCTCAGCTCACTGCCTCTTCTAAGAGGACAGGTTTCACTACTGGACCAAAATACCGCATAAACAAAATATCACAATGTTTCCAAACACTGGGTTCTGAAACATCAGTGTGTTAATTCATACTGTACACATTACGTTTTAGGGAAACCAAAAGGAAAGAAGTGCACAGTGACAAGCCTTGCTCTGCAGTGTGGCCTAATCTGAACCTGGAGTTGAACGTTCCAAATTATAAAAGGAAATTTGTGTTTGTGCTAATTTTTTTTCCCAAGAGACTCAAATTATTCCAGATAAATTCACCACGTACTAAGAATTAGAAGGGGACCCAAGGAGATGGACTCAACAAGCTGTAACCAGTGCTAAGGTCCTTTTCGAAGAGTTAATTAAGTGTCCCACGTGCACTAGCGATGCTGTATTCTTTTTTTTTTTTTTTTTTAGTTGAAATATAGTTGATTTATAACATTGTGTTAGTTTCTGGTGTACAGCACAGTGATTCAGTTATCTATTTTTTTCAGATTATTTTCCATTATAGGTTGTTACAAGATAGTGAATATAGTTCCCTGTGCTATACAGTAAATCTTTATTGCTTACTTCTTTTATATAAAGTAGTGTGTATCTGTTAATCCCATACTCCTAATTTATTCCTCCTCCCATCCCTTTCCCCTTTGGTAGCCGTAAGTTT